CCCCCTCGGGATCACAGCGATTAGGTGAGCTAACAAAAAATATTGAGACTCACTGCAGGTCACGTGAAGGAAGAAGTTGCAGGTTATGGGGAAAATAGAACGTCTGTTTTTTAGAACTGGGGAGGTTTTAGTAAGCGTTCTACAGTACTTGCAACACATTTAGGTCATAGAAGTGCCGAAGATTAGGGGTGTTACAGGAGAGTAACAATACAAAAAAGAAGGAAAGATAAGGACGACAGATGTTTGATTTTTTTTTTTAAGAGAGCACCCACCAACGACCCACCTGAGGTGAGTGGAAGAGCACAGAATGGGCCCTACTTCTATGGCAAGTCAGTTCGATAAAGGCACATGCCAAAGACAAATGAGGACGTTAGTAACGTAGAGAAGAAGTAGAAAAAAAACAGTGTCCACCAACCATTTCTCATTAAGGGGAAGGGTCCCAGGCTGTTTTGAGGCGCAACTGATAAGAAGGTCTAAGCTTGACGTGGCGCATTAATAACATTTAAAAAAATATAATTCAATAATAAATGGTTGTACGTGCATGAAATTTGGCATGCCACTTAACTCTGCGTACAAAAATTATTATTGTATCTTAACATTTCTTAATTTAGTGCCATTTGTTATCTTTTAATCATATTTTTTCTCAAAACATCATTTTAACACACTTTTCTGGACTACTCTGGAGTTAACCTGTGGATTTACTTGAAATTTGCTGGAAGTGTCGCCCAAATAGCCTTTTCAATTGTATAGTAGAATCGATTTAAAATACTGAATACTTTCTGTTTTATGACTAAATTTTGAAAAAAAAATGATTTTTTGGAAGTGTTTTTGGGATACTTATTTTCAAAGCTCGTAACTTCCTTATCTTGAAAGATATAAAAAAAAATCTCCAATATGTTAATAACAATATTTCAAGGTCTCTAGGTATTCATTTTCAAACATATTCATTGGTAAACTTCAGAGAAGTCTTAATTTTAAAATTGGGCGTAAAATCCAAGATGGCGGCCATCTTGGATTTTCCACACCAAAAAATGTTTGTATTGCATTTCTTTCTCAATTGAAACCTGCATGCCAAACTGTAAGTCTGTATTTGTCTTAACAGCGATTTTAGCCCCATCCTGGGACCCCTGTCCTTAATATGATTCTAGATATTTGCAGCTCTCATTGACACCATTTCAGATCATTTGCGCGGCGAGCTGCTTCGTCACTGCCTGTCACGACCAACCCAGGATGAGTAGGATGCAACGTCCTTGCTGGCAGACGTACACACTTGAAGGAAGCCAACCAACGCTTTGCTGTGGGCAAAGACCAAGAGCCTAACCATTATATCACTAGCGCCCGTTCACCACATGGAACAGAATGTTGCAACAGTAACACAGACAAAGAAGAAGAAACAACAATCATACCCACGATTCATCTCCTGGTGAAGTTAATAACAACTGTACACTGCTTGATAGTCTGGGCAAAGAGATCGCTTACTTGTGTTGGAAAAGACAAGAGAGACAGACAGGCAGGCAGGCAGAAAAGGGGACAGTAAAGAAGCAGGACTTACCAGTGGCTCCTCCGAACATCTTCGTGTTGTGTAACACTGGGAGAAGAGCCAGCAGATCAAATCAAGACAACCCCCCCCGTTAACAGCAGCCCACACTGACATGGTATGTTATGGCATGGTATGGTATGGCAGCAATCTAAGTTAGGGGTTTTATGAGCTGGACATCCGCATTGAACGTCCATCAACGAAAGTACCGGGCAAAGTGGGTGAAAAGCCTTGAAACATCCAACTACAGAGCGCCCCTATGAGAAGTCGAACCACAGATATCAGCCTTGTTTGTAGTCTGTCATAACAGTAACTGAGCTATATGTGCGCCCAAATATGACATTGGAGAAACAGTAAAGCAGAACACATCATATAAGAGATCTTCTTTCATAATCGTCACCCGTGGCCTCCGGCTAAACTCACGAGAAAGAACATTCGCATTTATCGTTTCGCCCTACTGAAAAGACCTTGCCGGGGAAGCTAAGGATTGTAAAAAATGTTTTCTCCACCTTCATAAGCACATGTGAATACAAACGTGTTTTGAAGACAACGGGTTCGCTGAGTCAAAGAAGGGTGACTGGTTTGACTGAACTCAATGGAGCGTACAGCCAAGTCGTCAAAGTCTGTGAGGGGGAGAAAAAACTAGGTACAGACAAGGACCACTCCCAGGGAATGTTAAGGTGAAGGCGGCAGGTTCTATGCTCGTGTTTACCTCTGCAATATAAAGATAGGTCATAAAGAAACCAACCAACATGCTGTGCTCCCTCTCTCTCTCTCTCTCTCTCTCTCTCTCTCTCTCTCTCTCTCTCTCTCTCTCTCTCTCTCTCTCTTTCTCTCTCTCTTAATCTCTCTCCCTTTCTCTCCCGCCCCCCTCTCTCTCTGTCTCTCTCTCTCTCTCTCTTAACCTCTCTCTCTCCCCTTCTCTTCCTTCTCTCACATGCTGACTCTATCAGTGTGACGAATTCTCCCAAGAGTTCCCAGGTGCGAACACTTCCCTCCAACATGCAATCCATACACTTGGGCACGGGTAACTCTGTGACTGTTGTCAAAGATGTCTTATGGATAACGAATCACGCTCGAAGCATTAATGCACATAATATGTGCCGTTGTTATAGTGCACTGGTTCTAGACAAATTACAAACTGATTTCCATTGATTTTCACATATTTCTTTATCATCTATATTTATATTATAATCGTTTAGTTCTTTCCAAGTGACCCTATAATAATTGTTCTCACCAGCGTAAGATCAGTATTCTTATATAGGTCAACTATGATGAACTTTTCACCAGTAAACAACACCAGTTTGAGAAAATTTAGTGAAGCTACTCTCGCAAGACGAATTAGTAACCAAATAAAGAGTAATCAGTGCAATGTCATAATTGTACTGAGATAATAAATTGCTGCAATTTTTAAAAAAGTTAAAATAAACAGAATAGTAAGGGAAATCCATTTATTTGTGTACGTGTATATTAATCTTTGTTTTATCTCCCCCCACCCCCGTACCCGCTCTCCAAACCACGCCCACCCACCTTGGACAAACCTGGTTCTTCACCCTGCAGCTGTCCAAAGAGGCCGTATCCCACCCACCCAGCACCCGTTCCATGGCCAGATGGCCTTTCACAACGGTGACCCGCTCAACGGACACACCTACTTGTCCAGCTTCATCTCTATGCTGCTCCGTGCCGAGCCCTACCCAACCTCCCGCTTCGGGAACTGCATGCAACAGCCTAACATCATGGGCATTGAGAACATCTGCGAACTGGCCGCCCGCCTTCTCTTCTCCGCCGTGGAATGGGCGCGGAACATCCCGTTCTTTCCGGAGCTGCAAGTGACTGATCAGGTGGCGTTGCTCAGATTGGGCTGGTCAGAGCTCTTCGTTCTCAACGCCGCCCAGTGCTCCATGCCGCTTCACGTCGCGCCTTTGCTGGCAGCGGCAGGACTCCACGCCAGCCCCATGGCGGCCGAGAGAGTAGTGGCCTTTATGGACCATATACGAATTTTCCAGGAGCAGGTGGAGAAACTCAAAGCCCTGCACGTGGACTCGGCCGAGTACAGCTGCCTCAAGGCTATTGCCCTCTTCTCCTCCGGTGAGTGCTGCAATTCTCTGTTCGATTTGTATGTGTGAGTGCGTCTCTCTATCTTCTTTCTTGTGCGCTGGGAACTGATGTTTTATTCAACAGTGCTCTGTTGTCGTGTCTGTCTGTCTGTCTGTCTGTCTGTCTGTCTGTCTGTCTGTCTGTCTGTCTGTCTGTCTGTCTGTCTGTCTGTCTGTCTGTCTGTCTGT